CCAAAATTCAAGTTGCTGACTTTCACCTTGAACAGCATATTGTCCAAATCCCTTGGAATTTCTCTTGGCATCACTGTCTCTTTTAAACAGGGTAAGCTTTATATTCTTCTACAATTTTAAAAACAAAAACCAAACAAAAAATTCCACATTGACTCGTTAGTGTTATTTCAAGGATAATTACTATTGTTTAGCTTGGCTTATTTAGTTTGTTAACTCTTCAATACTGTTCTTTAAAAAAGCCTTTCCAATAAAGTGTTAGCATAAGGCCATGGAACTATATGAAGGACATTTCTATGTTTAGAAACAATAACTTGACAGCTAGATAGAAATTCTGTCTATTTAGATGTTTTAGAGAGTGGAAGTGGAAACAGAAGTGTTTAATGCACACATTCAGTACATACCAATGCACAAACCCCATGCTAATTTAAATAACGTGCTGAAGTTTGGCTCTGTTTAAGTGCCTTATCCTTCAAAAGCTCACAATATCAAATAATCTTTGCTATAAAATTGCTACAACTCAAGGCAAAAGATGATTCATAAGGATCAAGAGGAATCAATATGACTTGGGTTTTATGGCAGTGGATCCTGAGTAACTTGTGATCATGCTAAATAACACGTTTTGGATATCTGTTCATACTGTAACAGGTCAAATCTCATTAATAATCATGGTAGCTATTAGCATATAAGTGCACAGGCATTAGTTTAGAAGATACAGGGCCATGATGCCTGCAGAAAAAAAAAAGAAGGCAACAGAAAAACAGGAAGCCAAACCATTTTTTCAAGGAAGCGGTTAGAGTAATGAATAAACTCGTAAAACATCTGCCACAAGAGACAGACCATTAAGGCAGTGAGTGTCTAGAATTTGTACACACTCAGGCACATCAAAGAACCATGAGACAGATCAAAGCCCTGTGAGACTCACAGGCTGCCCAGCCTAATCAGAGAGGAGGGCAACGGCACAAGCTCACCCACAGTGGATACCAAAGCTCCAGCTCAGATGTCAGACATTACTGATTCTGTGGAATTAGTTCTTGCCAAGGCAGAGGCTACCCCAGTCAACAGTCTGCTCCCCATACTTTCATTTCACCTTCCTTTCTTTAGAGCCCACATGGTCCAAGCAGTCAATGACACTCAGCATCTCTGACAACTCAGAGAATCCTTAGAGTGAACAGCGCTGGGTAAGGATGCTGGCTGCTCAAGTGCTGCCTACAGTGTTGAAGCTCAGACAGCTTCAAAGTATTCATTATTCTCTCCCCCCTAAAAGTTCTGCCAAAGACACAGTTACATCATCACTTCAAAATCAAAGTTTGGAAGGTAGCATTGCTATGGAAGTAGCAACTTTAAACACACTGAGACTCTCAATAAATCATCATCGAAATACTGAGCATCAACAAACACTAATGTTTACCAGACCAGGGAACCCATACTTCATATATACTATATGTGAAAGTGTGTGGATTTCACTGGGAATTACAGATCTACATCAAAGGTTAATGGTCTGTAGTCCTTGTTCATAATTTGTTGATAATTATATCAGGACTAAAGGACAAAGTAGATTCTCTTGACAAAATTCACATGAGGAGGATATCAAGAGACTGACACAGAGCAGAAAACTGAACCTGGTTCGCCCTCATCCCTGACAAATGATCAAAGCATCAGGACTAGCCTGTCTCATCCCTCTTGCTGGCCATACTCTCTAAATAAAAAACAGAAAGAAAGCAGGCTTCCACCTGACTCTCTGTCCTCATGGAGGATTCTCTTTCTGTGTGTGTGAAAGGGCTCTGTTCCAAATAGTCAGCATTAGCCAATTAAAGTGTCTCCAAGGATGCAATTATACATCTTAGAAAATCATCTCTGCACTTACCTCTGTCCGTGACAGAACCGTGCATTTCCCTGGTTTAGCTGCAGCCTTTATTTCCGTGCATGTTGATTTTAAGTAACCATTCTTGATTTCCTCCTCTATGGAGTTATATTTATGGGATTCAGTCACTTCCAACAAGAACTTTGCCTCTTCATTTTCATATCTGAGTGGGACTTCAGGAATACTGCACAGATGTAGGGTAAGGCAAATTATGAAAACCAAGGCTGCGAAGAAGAAAATCACCTGGAATTCTGATGCCAAGGAATATCCTAATACAGTTTGACCCCAATCCATAGCACCTGTCAGGTAACCCAGGGCTCCTCCCAAACCTACAATGGTGGAAAAAAAGGGGAGAAAAAGATCTACTGGCATTGATACAACAAACAACAAGTACACAATACCCTCAAGATGTGATCCCCTCTAGACATGATGGAATAATCACTCTTCAGATATTGATCATAAAAAATAGGAATTATGAGCTAATCACATACATGAGCAGTTACTAAAACATCTCCTGAAAAATCTCCTGAGATC